GTATCGGTGATCGGCCCTCATGGGTGATCGGTATCGGTATCGGCAGGAAAAAACCTGATCGGCACATCTCTAACGGAGACATCTAGAACAGGTGCTTGGAGAGTCTGTTCCCTACCTCCCGCTTGCACGCTCATAAAATACACGCGATACTTTACTGATAGATAATCAGTTATCGAGTAGAATCACAGGTTTTATTGCGTTGCTACTGAGATATTGCACAGATAAATCTCAGATATTGGGAAATAATCAAGAGACTCCTAAAAGGTTGATGAGTCCAACACCCTGCGGCACGGACGTCCCTCCTGCACTAATAGGCGCCGGCTGATAACTGCAGCATCAGCTCTGCGCCGAGCCCGCAGCATCACCGGATAATGTGACGTCTGCAGGTGTAATGGTGGCGGCCGACGTGGGTGTTGGCTGCCGTGGGTTCAGTCAGAGCTGGAACGGCTCCACAGCTCTCTTCCACTGGAAGGGTTGGAGCGGGGTGGTGGGATGGGGGGGGCTGTCCTCTTCCTCCCATGTTCCCATTACACAGCGCTGCCCTTCGTCTAGTTGCCTGGCAACAGACGTTGCCTTTAAATACCCGGCTACCCAGACGGGAAGCGGCGCGGAGACGTCGACGCTACGGCGGGGTTCACTCCAGGCGAGACCAAATTGCATTGCATGCTTCTTTTTGTTTATTTTTTTTAATTGTTTTGAATGAAAAAAACAAAATGTTTGCAGGGTGGAGAGACAGCATTCTGATTCGGCTCAGTTGGTGTCTGCTCTTCCTGCCGCAAACAGGATCGCGCGATACACGAAAGTGGTTCCCAAATGAGTCTGCACACCAGGCTGCACTCAAAACATGCTATTATCTATGCAAATGCTGCTGCCCCGGTAGGGAGAAAGAAGACGGAAAAAAAAAACAAAAAAAAACCTGAAGCACCAGGCACTCTATTAGAAGTCACACAATAAACTGAAAGCATCTGGAAAGCACATGCAGAAGGACTCCTAATCGCATTAGGCCACAGGTATATCTCTAAAGGCCTGCTGGTAATGGCTGTATTGCTCTCCGGAATAGGTAGATTTCCGTTAATTTCTACCGATTACAACACGCAGCAGCTTCAGCCACTCTGATCGTCACATGCACGTCTTTATGTTAATTAGTTTAGCCCCCTGGGACTGTCATGGCTGATGGATTCATCTCATTTCAGCGGCACGACGTCGTCAGGGTATAAAGCAGCTTGACTTTTAAAATTGCCGTGCGTGTATAAAAACCAGCTCAACGACTGAAAAAAAAAGTTTTTTTTTTTTTGTCTTGTTTTTTTTTAAGGCTTTTTTGAGATTTTTTTCCCCAGTTTTCCGGATCCGTTGGTTGATTGTGCAGAACCAAAATATGGTACTTTCTGAGGCTGTCGCAGTTATCACGAGATTACAATCCCACAAGTATCTGCGCGGCTCGTCAGACCGCTCACTGTGTCTTCTCAAGAAGTGTTTTTTTTTTTTATTTAATTTAATTTAATTTTTTTTTTGCCTTCCAACTCAGAGGAATGAGATAAAAGAGTGAAACATGACAACGACTGGTCAAAAACTGAGTATCTGATTTGCATTTCCCTCCCAAAGCTAAACGTAAACCTGTCCATGGCGCTCAACTCTGATCGCCATGGACATATTTAAAAGTTCTGCATGCACGAAGCGCCGCTGGTGTAGAAATAACGCAATTGCTAGTCAATTACTGCAGCAGTGACGCAATGATAGTATTACTTAATACCACGCAATACCATGCAAGCACTGTTTTTACCTTTATTCTTCTTTCTTTCTTTTTTTTTCTTTGTGAGACTTTCATGCAAATGTGCAAAAGTTCATTTTTGAGCAGGAATTGGCTTCAGGCACATTCTGGACTGTGAAAAATGCTGCCTCCTATTTGCTGACTGCTCCGGCCCTTCATTGATCTTATTGGCTTAGCCTTCCTGTGACGGTGATAGATGTTGTTCAAAGGCGACAGATTCCTCGTCTGATCACCTGCTAAATGTGATCCAATGCTTTGGAAGATTTATTCTTTCCCAGATCTATCGATAATTGATCCCAAAACTGTAAGGTTTCACGTCTAAGAACATCTTTGTACGACTCTTTAAATCCCTTTTTTTTTGTTTTTTTTTTAATCGTTTGTCTTATATTTTTAGGAATATAAGGGAATTTGTATTTGATCTTAGAAACATCAGGAACAACAATTTCTCTAAGGCTTTTTAAGTTGCTATTCTGGGGCTTTTCGTTCAGCTCACAAGATGAAGGGCTGGATCAGTAATGTGACAAGTTAGCAAAGTCAGGAAACTGAAGAAGAAATGATCCAACTTAGCCGGTTATTAAGCAGACCCAATGTTCTCGGCTGGCCGGCAGGACGGTAAACATCAGCATATAAAAGGTTTTCTTCCTGGTTTGCCTTTTATTTAGCTAAACTCTTTACACTTGTGATCTCATTTGACCAGAGCACCTTCTTCTAAATCAGGGGCGTCAAACTCATTTTCATTTTGCTCAACATCAAGATCACGAGTCAAAGGACCGGTTGTGGCAGATGTTAATAAAACCCATTAACAGACTGCTAAAGTATTAATAAATAGCTGTCTCTGCAGTTGATAAGTACTTCTTTAAATTAAGTGATATTGAACAACTTTACACACGTATCAGTCGTGCAGTTAAAATCATGGATTTTGTGGAGCTACTTTAGAAATATTTGCAAGAGAAAAAAAGGATCCCCTTTTTTTTTTACAAAAGACAATTTAGACAAAAAACAGACACTTAGTGAGAAATTACTTAGGCTGTTAGTTTACAGAGGTGATAATATGACAGTAAATGCGACTTTTTGTTACTTAGCATCAAGTAAGTCTGAGGCAGCTGAGTCACAGAAGTAAGAAACACTGCCTCCTGCAGGTGGGAGTTAGCATAGCAACACTTAAACCCCAACCTTTTTTTGGACAATTTTCACGGAATTTGACGATAAACTATCACCAAAAAGTGTGGGGATTTGTTGATTTTCGTGAATCAAAAGCTGCTTTGATTTGATTGACTGAAGCACTCGACTGTTACCTTGAAGGTTCTACTTAAGCTTCCATCTGGAGTCTAGAGGAGCCGCATGAGAAGCTACCGCGGGTCCCGATTTGGCCCCCGGGGTCTTGAGTTTGACTCACAGTGGCTTTCTTCTTTCCCGTTTTGTTGTGTGCTAAAAGGCCAGATTTGCTCTACTAGTCGTTGTCCCGCTGACAGACCCTCCCGCCTTAGCCGGCCACTTCAGCTCTCCATCCCCCCTCTGCCTCGCAGTCGCTCCTGTTTGCATTCAGACTTGGCGCTGGCGTTCCCTTTCAGTCAATGCCGAACTCAAAGCCTCTACATTACGGCCGTCCTTTCTCTCGTCAGCCTCGGCTTTGCCGACGTGGAGCTTTGTTCTTGCCGGTTGACAGTTTGTATTAATCAAAGGGAAATTGCAGCAGGGGGAACGTGGGGGCAGGTCAGCGCGTTTGTAATGGTGTCAAGAGCCAATTGTCTTGAAGGTCAGTGGCGCATTCGCAGAGCTTTCACTCCGGCCTGGTTCAAGAGAGCATGTCATTCGGTTTCTATCTGTCTCATTGTCGGCTAAAGACGCTCCGTGACCTGCTGCACTTTCCTCTAATGTGCAAGTGATTCGTTGCTTTTTTTTTTTGCACTTCTGCCGCTGTGCTTGGAGTCGCATTTGCTTTTCTAACTTGTGCTACATTTAAGGACAAAAGGTGATTTTAAAGTGTATGTTTACTTTACCAACCAGAGTTAATTGGTCGTTTTCTCTTAACAGGGTGAGAGCGTATTACTGGACGTGGGACAAATGAAGGAGCCGAGATCAACCTTTAGCAGTGCCTCCTTTAAAGTTGGAAAACCTGGAAGGAAGCGTAAGCAGTTTCCAGTGAGTATCGATCCGACACGTTGGAAAATGACCAGCTGCACCGGTGCTTGGTTTACAAGTCAGATTGGGTGTTAATTAGCATACACTTTAATTTGGCAGCATAAAAGACACTTTTAACAAAACGAATTTATAACTCAGAAAGAAAAATAGAGAAGCAAAAATCCTCTTTTTCTAAATTCTTACTGTTTGACAAAGTAAATCGACAGCTTGCAAAATGATTCAGGCCTGGTTGGATTATATTTAGCTCTACGTCCAGTGTCTTCTGTCTCCAAGCGTCCCCACAGCATGATGCTTCCACCACCAGTTTTCACAATGGGGATGCTGTGTGTACAAGGGGGGATTTAGTAATAGTTTTCCACCTTGACATTCTGACTGCAGGCCGTTTTCGGTGTCATTTTTGCTACAACGCCTTCATCCACAAGTTTGCATTTTCCCCTAGAGGGCTTTTGGCGAACTGCAACTGCGACTGGTTTAAGCAATCTCTGTTTAGTTTCAAACAGGCCTGGTTTCACGACAAAAGCACATCAGTTGCACAAGAAGTATGTATTTTTTCAGTCAGGTTGCAAACTGTGTCCTACGTTTCCTAAAGTGCGCTTAAATCTGACTTTTTTACTAAATGTGGAAGGGATTGAGTCAACTGGATTCTGCTAAAGAAACTGTATATTCTCTCCCTTGTTGTAAATGTTTGACTGAGGGATGATTTTCTTGATTCCAAAAACAGAAATGAAATAAATTGTGGGTCATTTGGTGACAGATTTGTGTCTTGCATAATCAAAAGCAAAAATAAAAAATGCTGTTCAAAACTTGAGACATTGTTTTATACCCTTTACACTCTTTAATGATGCTATTTATTCTAATGTTATCTAACAAACATTTGAGGCCTTCACAGAACAGCTGTGTTTGTTTCATGATGAAAATCACACTGAAGTGGATCACATTGAGTAATCGGTTGCCGTCCGACGTCATTGGTGTAAAAATAAAGGAGGCGGAGTACAAATCCATCCCACGTTTTCTAGACTTTACAAACATTTTTGAAAACCATGTATACTTTTCCTCCTGTTTCACAATTATGCACCACCTTGTGTCGACCTACCACATAAAATCCCAATAAAAACGGTTGTGGTTCGTGGTTGTACGGTGACAAAATCGGGGAGAAAAGTGTAAGAAGTGGGAACAGTTTTGGTAAATTTGTGGCGGTAGCCTGCAGCAGCATCAGAGGTTTTGCTCCTGCTCTGCGTTTACCTGTCTGAGCTGTTTCTGCTTCAGTCGGCATCCTGTCTGTTCTGGTTGGAAGGCAGCTTGTCCTCAGCACTGAAACCATTTTGGATTCATTATTTATTCATCATCTGGACAGAAAAGAAAAAAAAAAAAAAAAAAAAAAAAAACTTTCAGGAGATTAAGTGAGGCACAGACTCACTCCTTCTGATCCCACCCTAAGCACTTTGCATTGTTAGAAATATGCAAATAGGCGTAGAAAAAAAAGGACAGCGGTCAAGTTGGGACACACTTACTTTAGTAAGAGTGCTGCGATCACATCAGGAAACGGTTTCAGCCAATCGGAAAAGAGCCGGGCCTTCATGAACAGCAGTGATCACATCCAGGATCCACACCGTGATGAGTTGGGTCAAGAAAACCACAAAGGTAAACTCCACAGTGAACCTCTGTGGAGCGAGTTTTCCCAGACGGCACCCAGCAGACGCCTCTACAAACATAAAAGTGTTGATAACACGTATACTTTTATAATCTACCCTTCCTGGACATGCATAGATACCACTGTACTTTGGTATCTGTGGTATGAGGACCGACTTTGGGCCAGAGCCGTCAGTGTTTAGACTTCTTGTTATCCCTGTCTGAATGACCCAGTTCATACCAATATGAACTAGTCCAACTCTTGATACTATCAGGAGAACTAAAAATGAGCAATCAGACGGTCATTAGTGAGGAAATGGTCAATATTCCTTTGTTTGGTTCTGACCTGAGATCACTGGGAAAACGACAGAAAAATCTGAATTTTTCTGGTCCATTAAATGTTTTGGAAGGGAAAAATGTCCTTCTCTGTTTTTTGGTCTGTACACGCATCAATGAACAGCGAAGGTTTTTGACTATTGAGTTGAACCAATGTCCAAACTACTTTATTGCTGTAATTTCTGTAAACTCTTTACTGTAGTCGCTCCAGTCGCTGTTATCACTGTCATTTTCAGTGCTAATAGTAGGAATTACTTTTTGCTGTAACCACAGCTCATTTAGCGTTGCAGACGACACCGTGGCATTGGAGCGTCGTCAAGTCCAACCCATGAAATGGATGGATGGATGGATGGATGGTCATACTTCCTTTTTCTTTTATTTTGTTTGTCCCAAACTTATATTGTTTGTCCCAGATTTCCTGCATACTCACTCTAGCTTTATCTATCCATTGTGTCTCTGGCATAAGCTTGATTAAGTTAACTGCAGTTACTTCCAGTGGTTAATTGTTTTCCTGACGTCACTGCAACCATTTGTTGGTGGAATAATTAAAGGCAGCAGGTGAACCTTTGTGTCCTCGGCTGGTGATGTTTAGATGCCTGGGTCAGAGCGCCGCCGTAGCTTCAGCTCTTGTGTTCCTGGTTTGTAGGCTAGGGAAGGCGTAGTGGTGAACTGTTGACTCACTGGTGCCGGGCCCAGGTGGTCCGATCCAACAGATAAACTACCGCAAGCAAAATGAAAGAATAGAATCGGCCTGTGAAATCCTGTGGGTTGCGTCTCTAACAGCAACGAGGCAAACTTTCAGTGCGGTAAAGGAGTGTACCACAGCTGCCTGGGCTCCTTGTTGTTTTACCAAGAAAGGCCAAAGAGCGTCTTTCTATTCTTTACCCATTAACTGACCCTGTTGTTTTTTCACCCCTTATGGGGCTTTGCTTTAATGTTCAAGGAGGATTCCCGAGTCCAAACCACTTGTTGCCTCCCTTTCCCTGCTGGTTCAGTTCAACATAAATTCAGACTTGACCACTGGCATATGTTTTTTTAGGGCTTGTTTTTTTTCACCAGATACAGAAAGGTATGTTAAATCTTTCTGCTAAGCCAAAAGATTTGGTTGCATTTAGCGTATAACGTGGAACATTGTTGTCTCAAATGACATGAGTACAGAGCTGTGGAAATGGATTTGCCTAACCTTCCAGAGGTTTTCTTAGGTTACAGATCCTAAAACTAATTTCAATATTAGACAAACTTTACTTGAGGAACTACAGTTGAGGGGAAAAATCTATCCAAACCAACCAGGCCCAGTGTGAAAACCTTTGGTTGCAAAAGCTGACAGGAAGTGTTCCTGGTGACCGACTTGGAGATTTTTGACGTCACAAAGGAGTGATCTTTGCCACATTGCAGGGTTTTCTGTTAAAGACCATCCCTCTCTTTTTCTTCTGAATATAAGTCCTGACTTTGACTAGACCACTTTAGAACCTTCACTTTGGTGCTTTTTTAGCTATGTTTTGGGCCATTTAGTGATCTTTGAATCTCTGTTTCTCTGCATAACCCAAGTGTGCTTGAGCTTAAGGCCACAAACTGATGGCTGCACATTGTCCTAATGAATTTTCTGGTGAAAAGTGGAAAAGTGGACCATCAAGTACGGCAAGCCGTCAATCCCAAAACAGCGAGTAGTCCTAAAAAAGTTCCAATTTTGTCTCATTGGTTCAAACGTCTAAAAGTCTTTTTTGTGAAGTCAATTTTCTTCCAATTTATTTTTGATAAATACAGCATTTTTCCAGAGGTTACATATTGACTTTATTGTGCTATAAAACATTTCTATATATTTGGAAAAATATATAATGAGCTACAACATTGAAGTGTGACAAATAAAAACAAAACAGCAAAAAAAATAAATGTCTAACTTTACATTTTATCCAGGATATTATTTACTGCCATGTTTTGATGCTAATAAGCTTCTGCGCATTATGTAGGATTAGCAGTTTAGTGTTGTGCCTCTGACCCCTGTCTGCCTGTCTGGGCTGTCTGATTTACCAAGCGGGACCTCTGACCTCTGGCAGCCTCCACATGTGGTTCACTGGGTCACTCGTCGTTTGCGTAATGCTTTTAGCAGCAGTTGCGTCACACCAAACATGTCTGCTCTCGCTCTCTTTTCCCCGCGTTTTGCCTTCATTGCTGCGTGCAAGTCAGAGTATCAATAATCCCGGAGCAGAGGCTTTGTTTCTGTCACTCACCGTGTCCGGCTGATTCACTGGCGGGCTGCTCCTCGTTTGACTGGACTTGTTCGGCTTGTTGATAATTTGTCCGATGAGGTCACGCAGACCTCCGCGGCCTCAGAGGGATTCCTCACAGCCGGCTGCGTTTCACTGTGGCTTTGTCTTTGCAAAACGTTACAACTTCGACAGAAGTTTATTTTGGCATGGTTTGTTTTGCGTCCAGGCATTCTTCAGGGTCACATTGAGAGCAGATATCTTCAGATTTCTATCTCTGACCAAATTTATGGTCAGAGTAAACAAGTCGTGTGTTTTAAAGGCAGCAGCAAGAAGGATTCATACCCCCTGAGATAAAACAAAAAAACCCATCAAAAACCTGAATGTACTTTACAGCGGTTTGATGTGATATATGGTTGTACAAGTTTTTCACAAATAGTAATTTAAAAATTGTGCCGTGCATTTGTATTCAATCCACCGACTCAACAGTTCAAGCCACCTTTCACTGGAACTACAGCTGCAGGTTTGCACATCTAGGATCTAAAAGATTTTAGCTATTCATGTTGAAGGAATCTGTAAACCTCTCCACAGACTTGGGTCTGGACTTGGACTGGGCTGCTCCCAACACATGGCGGTGTTTCACCGGGTCTCAGCTTCAGTCACATGGAACTTTAGAAATGCTGGATGCACAGACGGCCATTCCTAGACGTTCTCCAGGTTTCACTTCGAAGCAGAGGTGCACCGATTGCAGTTTTCTGACCCATCGCCGATTTCTGATCTTTAAAAAGCCTGACCTGCCCATTCCAAATTTGGCCAACTGGTTTTGTCTGAAATAGCAAGAAAGTCGTTGAGTTTGTAACAGTGGAGACATGACATGGTGGGCTCGTCTGTCAGTCAAACCTCTCTCTGTAGAGCAGAAGAGGACAGTGGCTGATTTTTAGACCTTACCTGAGGTAGATAAGCTCGGCTTCACATGCAAGTATTTAGAGTCAAACATGGAGAACCAACATCAGATCAAGAAACCAGAGAAACCCCTACCAGTTTATAAATTCTTATTCTTATTATACATGGGAAACCAACATGTAGTTCTATACATTTATTTTGTTTGTATTTCCTCTAGCTCATGTCAAGGACTTTGAGTCGCCTTGTTGCCTAAAATGTGCTGCATAAATAAAACGACCTATCGTCTCTAATATCGGCCGATTCCCCAAAGTTAAGAAAATCGGAGATGATAAATCGGTGCCCTTCTGCTTTAAAGGTTTTAAAAAAGGAAGGGACTCTGTTGGAAACAGGACTCCTGTCCGTCCAGCTCTGAGTTTTGCTGCTGGTCTGAGTTTTACAGCAGTGATGCTGGGAGACGATGAGTAAACCGAAGCCCCACACACTTCACAGTCATTCACCACTTTGTGTTGGTCTCTCATTACAAATCTCTTGAAAATACGTCGTGAGGGGGTGTAAAGACTTGTCACAGTAAACAATAAATTAATTGATTGCATGATAAATGAAAACAAGCCCAATTTCAATTTTCCATTTGCATGATTTATCGCTTTTTCTCTTTTCTCTCTCTGTCGTTCTACCAAGAATCGGGCAACATATGCCTTCAGTCTGGTGCGTTGGTGTAAACGAGCCCTTTTTTTTTTTTTTTTTACAAAGACTTGATAATTTATTTGTTGTTTTGGATATTTAAGACATCTTCCAGTTCAAGCCTTAAATCACGCCGTTACCATCGCATCGCTGCAAATTGCTCTCAAAACAACGGTAATATTGCTCATCGCAACGACGTCTCGTGACAGGCCTGTGTATGACATCTAAATATGCTTTACACCCGGAGAGACGTTATCACACACTGGAAATCATGTCAGCTGCAAACAGGTCAGCACGTCTTGAATGAAGACCTCTTTTATGGAGCGAAACCAGGAGGACGGAGGGAAAACTTTCTCCAGGAACAGCCAACATTCCTGGCATAGTTCTGTGCTGCTGTAACACACAACGTCCCTCCTCGCTTGTACGTCTGTGGTTGTGTGGCCGCTTTCTTGTCCCTGCTTTGAACTTTTGGAGTTGAGGCAGTTTGTTGGGGATTGCTCTAACTCACTGATTCACGTGCCAACCTTGTAAAGGTTTACTCATGTAATATTTTGTCCTAAAACGCAGACGTTAACCTTCCACCCTCTCTTCGTCCCGTTTCGCCCGCAGGTGGAGAGCTGCGGATCCATCACGGACTGCGCGAGCGTTTGCAACAGCTACCTCGAGCTGTGCCGGCCGTCCATATCGCAAGTCTACAACGGAGAGACCGACCCGCGCGGAGACAAGACGCCCGACGCCTGCTTCCCCAAACAGGAGAGGCAGGAAGTAGAGAATGGAATTCCCAGATGCCCGTCCTCCTACCAGGAGGAGGAGGAGGAGGGCTCCCAGGGTCAGAGCCCCAGTCCCTCCCAGGAGAATGGCTTCCTGTCCAGCCAGGAGGAGCGAGAGCTGGAGAAGGACAAGGACGACGGCCTGACGATGCCGCGCAAGAAAAGAGGGAGGCGGAAACTGGAGCGGCCGACGAAGTGTGAGTTCTCGTTCGCAAGCAGGAATAATCTGGAAACGAGAGTCTGAGCGCGCGCAGGTTCCTGTTAGTGGTAATGCCAGACGTGTCAAATCTACATATTTATAACCATTAGCTATAAGAAAGGTACCAGAAAGAGAAATAAAAGCACAGGAGTGCATAAAAACTTAGGAGGTGTTCCTGATGTTGCTATAAAAGTTTATTGGTATTTCACTGTCATGTGAAATGTTTGCTCTTTGGAGTGATCCAAAGTTTTATTTGGCTCCATTTACTCAGATAAAATAAATAACTACTTCCAACAAAATCACTGCTGGCTAAAGTTTTGGAACCAGTGCCGTCAACTCTTTCTACATCCGTCTAAAGCTTAGAAGTAAACACTCGGTCCAGTTCATACAGATCCTTTTGCTCTCTCCTCCTCTGTAGGATTTATGTCTGAAGACAGAGATGGATTTGTGTCAGTTGAACTATTTTTCCTGCTGATTTGTCTTTATGTTTTGGATCAGGACCTAAAAACGAGCCCTTTGTCAGTTTTCCTGTAGAGTCTAAGCTTTGGTACACTTTATATGGTGCCTTTGGATTTAAAATTATCCACAGCATCACAGAACCTCCTCCGTACATGACAATGGACATGAGGTTTTTTTTTCCATGTTATTTTGTTATTTTCTTACTCTATGAAGTGTTTGTTGCAGAATAAACTAACACTAGTCTGATCTAACCAAAGCCACATGATCAAGACGGTGTGCGATGGTTGCTATGGAGACTTGGTGATCCACAATTTGCTGCAGTTATCCAATAGATTTTTCTTTTACCTTCCTTACCATCCATACCTGTCTGTAGTGGCCAGATGAGTCCAATTTATTTGCCTCAGTTTCATTTGTTTTAAAAGACTTTAGTCAACTAACAGATGCTTCCTGATTTATGAAGATTTACTCGTGTGACTTACATGAATGACTTATTCTTGCGTCTTTCCGATTTTGAGGCGTAGCTAGGAGAAACGGATTCCAGTTCCTGTGTCACGTGTTTGTTAGAATTTAAAGTTTAGGGTGTTGTTGCATTATTACACCATTACCAATACGTTACAGGAAATTGGTCTCTAAACAACAATATTATCATTCATCACAAAAAAAAAAAACAACCATCTGAGAAAATTTGTCGCCCAACAAAACTTTGACACTGTGTCAGGCCTAATCTTGCGTCTCTTTGCACATCTTTCCCAGATGTTCATGAGAGCAGTAAAGAGTTCTGTCAAAGCTGTCTAGATGATGTTGTTTCGTTAAAGCCGGAGTGCGTCGTAGCGCCCGTCGCTCCCTCGGCCACGTGCCTCCCCTTGTCGCTCCAGAGGGCCGCTGAGACGTCGGCTGTGACTTTGAATGGGAGTGTGGTAAATAAACGTAGGGGAGAAGGAGCACCCGGTCTCCTGGCAACGGGCCTCCTCGGCCTGGCAGATCCCAGGTGACGGCCGTGCCAGCCGGATGACGTCGCAGCCAAACTCAGCCTGCACTTCTTACTCACCTGATCTGTGGATCTCGGGGCTTGTTGCGTCTCGCTGAGGCAAACCCTGGGATAACCCTGCTGCCTTAGCAGTCCCACTGTCTCCCATGAAATAACTTCTCTTTTATTTCTGCACATCTACCCGTTTGGGTTTTTTGTTTTGAGCCTTTTTTTATTAAGCGGGGTTGAATCGGAACCAGTAGGGTGTTTATATATTTGCCATAAAGATATCTTTACAAGCAAAAAGTTGATTTATTCTGACTGGCTGGGAACGGGGCCTTTGGTTTTTGTTGCTCAGGAAGTAAGCAGCCGCATTATTTGCACACTAATTACTTGGGTTTGAGTCCACAAAACTTTATGGAAGGAGAAAGTAAAACTCTGGCATGCGTGTTGCTTTTACAGCAGCACTGTACTCACAACCGGTGAAAAATATGTTCCAACAGAAAGACGTTGTTTTAAATGATAGAAAAAGACCTTATCGATAACTATTAACAGTGCAGAAGAATACATAGAAGGACTAAACTGAGTAATTTCTTTTCTTTTTATTGTTGGAAACTTGTTTAGAGAAAAACCACAGCTGATTATGAAAGACGTTTTTCAGAAGTGGAAAAAAGGTTTCAGTATTTTTCACAATCCCTGCTATAGGACTAAATTTAAAACTAACTGTAGCTTCATACGAGTCGTTTAAAATATGTCATAAAATCATTATAAACCTCTCGAATGTTTTCACATTATGTACTGCATAATAAACGTCCATATAAAGTTTTGGGGATTTATTGTGAGAGAAAAATACAAAGTAGAGCATATTTGTGAGTTGAAAGAATAATTTAAACATTACTTTTAGCAGCTTTTACGACCACTTTTGCTCCAGTTAAAGCTGAATGTTTTCTGGGGGTTTATCTATGCCTGACATTTTTTGGCAATTCTTCTTGCAAAATAGTTTAAGTTCAGTCTGATTGGACGGAAATGGAGTTTGTGGACATCAACTTTAAATCTGCCATAGATTTTCAGTGGGATTTTTGACTAAAACATGAATATTTGCTAATCTAATCTCTTTCATAGTAACTCTGACTGCCATTCTCCAGTCTCTACTGCAACCTGCAGCTGCTTTTATTAAAAAAAAATCCCTCAAATTTATAACTTTTCTTGCACCACGTTATTGTTGAGTAAAAACCAGAGAAGGTCTACTTTTCCTTTCCTGTCTTTTTAACACATCATCATCATCATCAGGACTTTAACACAATAATTTAGATTAATTCACAAATTTTAGCATTTGAAAAAATTGTTTAACAAAATGAATTTCATTATATTTACTAATGGTTTTTGTTGTTGTTGTTTGTTTTTTTTTACATACAAAAGTTCTGGCCGGAACCTTTGTATTCGCACATTTCTGGTACATCCATAAATTTGATGCACAGGCCACAATTTATGCTTCAAAAAACGATGAGATGGGGCGCTGGAAAACACTTTTGTTGTGTTCAAAGTTCTGCTAAAAGCAGCTGGCCCACCAGCGAAGCTATTCAGGCTTAAAATAGCATCTCGGTGCTAAACATGTTGCAGCAGCTAATGTCAACATTCACAGCCCAGATTTCCATGAACGATCCGGGGTTCCTGAAAAAGCAGAATGGACATTATAGCACTCGACACTGATTTGATGGTTGAATAATCTAAATAACAGATTGAATAGCTTAGCAACAAAAGTTGAAAATCTCTCGCATTTTGTCAATATGTAATTGTGATTAATTAAGTACAGACCCTGCACTGAATTCAACTGAAAATTTGAATCGTTTCCCAACACTTGTTTTGTCTCGTAATAGCTTAAAAGAGAGCGGATTAAACAAAAAAAATCATAAGCATGTGGTTTAAAATATGTTCATCGAAGCATCTTGTGGTGTTCTGCATTCTCACGTTGTCCTTACGTCTTTGAAACGGGGTTGCAAAAACAGATTGAGAAGTGGGTTTTTGTCAAGACGTACAATGCTCTCAGAAAGCAGATCTGGGTAATAATGAGCCTCAGAGCCAAGGCAGCAACTTCTATGTACAGTTTATCAAATATGAGTTTTAAATGCATCCCAACTTTAAATGCAGATTAACTTCATCATGAGGGAAAATATGTAGTAACTTGTTAGTAAATGTTGAGACAGTGACATCTAAACTTTAGGATAACGTTAGCTTAGCTTCCACTGCTTGACATGTGCCGCAAACTGCGTTAGCTTAGCTGCTAGAGTCCCATCGCTTCAATTTTACTAATCAACAGAGCAGACCGGGCTGGAAATTGCAATAATGGACAGTAAAGTGTTGGTACAGTTACGACTGGAGCGCAGAGAGCTTGGCAGAGGAAGCGGAGGCCTGGATCGATATTCAGCTAAAGAGGGTTTGTGTTATCCATCTGGAGGGCACAGGAAGGATTTTAGCTCCGTCTGGAGCGTGCAACTGAGCTCCGGTAATGCTAAAGCTGGAACCCACTCAAGCTGGCAAGGTATACTCTCTCTGGGCATCGCGGGCCGGCTCCTCTCACAAACCCAGTGACCTTGGCCCTCTGCATGCCTCAACAATTTGTTATAGAGTCACTTATTCCTGAGGATCACAATGAAAGCAGTGGAGAGGGGGAGGCTGGAGGTCCAGCCACACGGCTGGAACAATCTTGAAGAGGCTGCTAAGAGAGAAGACTTCTGCTTGGACGGGACTCTAGGAAAACTTGCCATCAAGTGTTGTCCCCTCCCAATTCACACTCCCCCCCTCCACCCCTCTGCACCGCCCCCACCCCCCTCTTGGGGGCTCAAGTGCCAACACAGTGCTTTAGCGTCAACTGTTTACTCATTCTGTGCCATCTTGCTAATTTCAGAGCCAGCTGCTTCATAAGTCGTGTGTGTTGTGCAGCAGGGGTAATGCGGTATCAAAGAGCCTGGGGACTTTGAGAAGCACTGCGAAACTAATACCAGATATGTTGGCAGGCGCTTCTGTGATAAAGCTAAATTTGGCTTCCTCGTGTTGTGATCTGATTGTGAGACAGAGAAAAAGAAAAAAAACGTTCATTAATCACGACAGCCGCGCTAGTGTTTCGGTCATCATCACTCTCTGTTGAACTCCGTCAGCGCTTGGTTAGACTCAGACAAACAATGCTTTTCAGGAATAAATAACACGCGCGTGCTGTTATTGCAGACATCTGAAATCATGGCCAAGTTGGAGGGAAGTCCAACTGGAGCGTTTACTGTGCTTGAGTCAGTTTTATTAGACTGCGGTTTGAGGGCCCCTTGACGCTGGGCTATTTTTGTCTGCTTTACTCGGCTGCTGAAGTTCTCACTTCAGGTTGTGCAACTTCCTCTGAGCGTGTATCTGCGCCCGGTTCTTCCGGTGCGTGGCGCCGATAACATCGCAAACCGTCCTCTGCTGCATCATTCATTCACCTGTGGACGAATGAGGGCTGTTTGATCTGTTTATCGGTCAAACTGTACTCGAGCTGCACCGATTAGAATAATGCGCCCAGTTTTTTCTTTTTGTACCGAAATCAATTTTAGCTGATTTGGATTGAACTTTCAGAACTATGAGATATAAAAACTGCATTAGGTATTTTTTAAAGCTTAGGGTTAGCAGTCTTCTTGGTGTTTACCCTGGTTAACTCAGTATTACTAAAACAGCAGTTTCTACGCTCTAGAGCAGTCTCTGTTCACTTTTGCTTCTGTTAAAGAACATATTTGTCATGAGATGCAAAACCTACATGAACCTTCAAGAAAATATTGCTTTATACCTCCTAAAGAAAATTTGGAGGTAAAAAAAAAACAAAACCAAGTTTTAGCAACAAACTTGGTTTTGTTGCTAAAAATCCTCCATTTTATGCCTATTTATAAGTTTTAGAAGGAGTAAAAAATATAAAACTTTTTCAAAGAGAGAAATATTCATACGTATAAAAAATATGCTTAATACCTAGCAGATTGTGAATGAAAATACATGAAAAATAAACTAAAATTAGCTTTTTTTAATTGTTTGTATTGAAAAACATTGCTCAGGTCAATATCAGTTTTGGCTAAAGTTACCATGATAATTGACTGAAACCTATTTCTCACTATGACTGTGTTGCAGTTTTTCTAAATGTTTTATTTATTTATTTATTTGTTTATTTATTTTTTGCTTGCTGTGGTGTCACATTGCCTGAACTGAAACTATAATCTTTATTTCAGCTGGTGGAGGAAGTCTACCAGCTTTATAACGTCTGTTGAAATTTTCAGTAGTAGGACGTTTTACAAGCAGTTTCATGGAAAGACTTCCCAGAAACTTTACTCTGTTCTGATTCAGTTCAGGTTTTGAGATCTTCTAGGCGGGACATATACACCCACCAAATCACAGATGTGAAACAATATGTTGTAGACTTTATGACTCAATGTTAACAGCTTGGGCTAATAGCAGCTGGCTCTGTGTTTCATGAAAGGAAAACATCGGGCCGGATGATAAACTGTGGCCAAAGTAAACTTGGCCACTTTCTACACTCATCAGAACCTGGGCAGCGAATCCAGACCTTCGTGACTCCACTGTTTCCTCATGTAGCACCTGAGAGCTCAAGCTCCTCTAGTCCAGTTTTTTCAGAACCACAATTTGGATTTATTCGACTCCCTCAGCCGCCAGCTGTCTAGGGTTTTATCGATTTAGCTTTATTTAGAGCAAATGCTTTTTGATGCGATAAAAATGAAGCCTGCGATTCATTAACGTGTCATGGTTTATCAATCAGTAAAAAGCGATGAGTTTTGCACAAATTTAGTGGCTGTTAATGGGATTTTACTCTCTTCGGTGAATGATTCAGGTCATCCATTGTGTCACTGTCTTCTCTCTAGATGTGGAGCACAAGGAAGACGACGGGTGTGACGCAATCAAGACCGAGGTAAGATTTCTGTGCTGTTGTGTCGAATAAGGGTTGAATCCTCGTTTTGTGAGGTCAGAGTTGTTCAAATGGTCTTTGGATGTTTCAACAAAATACGGTGCGGTTTTGTTTGACTGATTTTGCCACGAATACATACTCACATGTGACACGGTTTATTCTCATCAAAACATGACGTCTTCTAAAAATAACAAGTGCAGTGACGCTCAAAAGTGAACGCAGTCTGTGTTATGTGTAAAAACGAGACCATGATCTATCGCTTCAAAACTGTCTCCACTTATTTAAACGTGACATCATCTACAATTCAGCTGAAAAAAAGAAGAAAAAAAAGACCACTGGGAGAAAAATAATTACAAAAAGCTGCAGCAACCTGCTTGTTAATTGTCCTCTGTTATTGTCCTGCTTTGTTGAAATTCCTTAATTCTGGCAAAGCCATTCCCAAGTGTTAAATCTCCTCTTGTGAAGTCATTCTTTTGTTTGTTTGGATGTATTATTCACTGTTAATCAGTTGGACCGAGAAGTGAAGCCAACCTAAACACCAACCATGTAGTTTAGATGAGCTCGACTCTTTGGTTTCGGTTCGGTCTGACAGAGCTCGGCTCACGTTGTCCAATCAAATCTTTATAGAGTTTATGTATCTGGAATCAGTTTTTTAATGTTTGCTAACAACCCTACGGTTTGAAGGCAATGTTGACTCGTTTCATATGAGTTAGATCAAACCCACTGACTCTGAACTCGATGAAGTCATAAATATGCTAACATACTAGTAACGCGGTTGGGTTTTTTACTTGAAAATATTTGACTCTGTACACCAAACAGAATGGATGTTGTGTCCCTTTTAGATTTTTATTTGGATTATCTAATATTAGCTTCCTGTAAAACTCCAGTACTCTCAAAACTAACACACCACGGAGTCAGAATCACAACGAGGTACAACAAGTGCCTCGTGGAGAAAAATAAATATTTGCACATGCAAACCGCGAAGCTGGTCAAAAAGAGATAAACTGCAGCTTGGAAAAACCTGCAGCGGAAGAGTTTGGTACTTGTTAGTCGAAGAACGGTGGGGTGGTCCGACTTGTTTTGGTAATTTAGCATCAGTATAAACTTACACGCTCCTGGCAACTAGTTATTCCAATTGGACTCAAGCCTCTACAACAAAGGACCAAATATGTTTCTTATTTAAAGATTTGCTTAGATTGACTTTCCACTCTTGCGCTCTAATAAAAACAGCAGACGGTAGAGGCCTTTCCATGCAGGTTTTCAGAAAGAAATCAATAAAAAAAATTATGCACAGCACATTCTTCAATGCTGTTTGCTTTTGACTGGAGATCGTCTGCGCCAGAAATCCAGAAACAGAAAATGGCTTCTTCTCTCTTTGAACTGATGAAAGAAATGGTACCTAATGGTGTATAGATTTGAAATATCAAATACACTTGGAAGCATCTCAGGAAAGCTTGTTCCGGTGTTTTTGAAGTTATTAGACGCTGTGACCTCCCTTTACGAAATTAACTAGTCAAATCACCAAACTACCCATTTCAAACAGAAACGTCTCACGGGAAACACGACGACCGGCTAGACGCGCAATTTTGCTACGATTCTCAACATCGACTCAAAAGAAAAAAACAAAACCAAGTAGCTAATTTGTTTCTCTCGTACCTTAAACAGGGAGGTCGAGGCAGGCTACGAAGGGGAGTTGGTTGGGAGATCAGCCTTCGACAGAGGCCAATGCCCAGAATAACCTTCCAGGCTGGTGACCCTTATTACATTAGCAAGCGGACCAGGGAGGAGTTGATGGCCAAGTGGAAGATGGAGGTGAGTACCCTGGCTGTAAACCAGCCGCTGCTGACCGCAGAGTCAGAGGCAAGCGTTGACTCAAGCTAGGACCCCTGGCGAACCCATGACCAAGTGTATTTGGTGTGTCATTTGATATTTCATGAAGGTACCATTTATTTCAGTGAAATTTCCCCAGTTTGGCTTCTGCTTTTCATTGCTTTGTTCTTGTCTTTCGTACGAGCGGGGGGGGGGGGGGAATTACATCCATCTGTGTGGGTCACATCTGGTTCATACTTCCCTGCTGAAAACATAAAATGTAGATTTACTCTGTTCCCCGTGCTTTTGATGTCTCACTCCAGAACCGAGTGAACGGTAATAAAGCTGGTCCCAACATGCAATGTTTCTGTTGATGTTGTGGATGTTGCTAGAGGCTGAGATGAGTTGAATTAAAATGAGTTGAGCTCAGTTCAGTCAGATCTGCTCTGTCTTCTCAAACACTGAATCTCTGGTTCTGGTTCTGCTGAAGGTTTCTTCTTGTTAAAGTGGAGTTTTTCCTCCCCTTTGTTGCTGCGTACATGCTCAGTATGAGAGATTGCTGCAAGTAAATGACTTGAAATCAGTTTGAATAATGAGTTAAAGTTGATACTGGATTTTAGTTACTGTTCTTGTGAAATACCTTTTACACTTTCACTTGTTTTTCTTTTAAGTTGTCTAAATTTATGTAGCGTGATTTGAATTGGCACTCTGCAAATAAACTTGAAATCAAGAATAACTGAGTCAGATTAGCTTGTCATCAGGACTGGTTATCATCACTGCTATTGTGTGGCTGAGTTTCATTACACTGCCGCAGATATTTCCATCTTCGTTGGCTCGTGCAGACAGGCTCGTCTGCTTTTAGTCATCGGCTTAAGAAAGCAAACAGAAATGTGTTTGTACATCAGACTGGAGCTGGAAACGGGGCAAAACAAGACTTTCTGGTGAAACGGCGCTTCTTTCACGAAATCATCAAGCAAGTTATGACAAAAATGTAATTTATAAAGCAACAGACCACATTTATGTTTTCGAATACAGCTCCTCGAAAAGCCTTCAAACATTTCCGCGTTTTGCCATCTTACAGCCACCAACCCAAATGGATTTTTACTGGAGTTTCCTGTAGAAGAACATCAAAACGTAGCATTTATTTGTACAATGGAAGAAAGGTTCTCTAAACTTCTTCCTAATAAAAAATGAAAATCATCCATCCATCCATTTTCTGCCGCTTATCCGGGGTCGGGTCGTGGAGGCAGCGGCTTCAGAAGGGAGGCCCAGACTTCCCTCTCCCAGCCACTTCTTCCAGCTCCTCCGGGGGAACCCCAAGGCGCTCCCAGGCCAGCCGAGAGATATAGTCCATCCAGCGTGTCCTGGGTCTTCCTCGTGGCCTCCTCCCGGTGGGACGTGCCCGGAACACCTCACCAGGGAGGCGTCCAGGAGGCATCCTAACCAGATGCCTGAGCCATGTCAACTGGCTCCTCTCGACGTGGAGGAGCAGTGGCTCTACTCTGAGTCCCTCCCGGATGACCGAGCTTCTCACCCTACCTCTAAGGGGGAGCCCAGCCACCCTGCGGAGGAAACCCATTTCGGCTGCTTGTATCCGGGACCTCGTTCTTTCGGTCATGACCGAAAGCTCATGACCATAGATGAGGGTGGAAACGTAGATCGACCGATAAATCGAAAGCTTCGCATTTTGACTCAGCTCTCTCTTCACCACAACGGACCGGTACAGCGCCCGCTTTACGGCAGATGCTGCCCCAATCCGCCTGTCGATCTCCCGCTCCCCTCTTCCCCCATTCGTGAACAAGATCCCCAGATACTTAAACTCCTCCACTTGAGGCAGGACGACCCCCCTGAAAATCAACTATTTCCATGAAAATCAACTATTGTAAAATAGAGCCTACTTCTGTTTAATTTAATCTCAGTATGGATAAAGCTTTTATTGTGAAGGCCCCAGAGTGGTTTTAACATAATAAAATATAAATAGTTAGAGGAATACAAATACTTTTGAAAGGCACTATACATCTACCTTTATAGTAACTGGTATTATTGCATTGAGTTGAATACATTTTGAGTATCTTTCTCTTCATTGCATGAAATCCCTGATCTGGTAATAAAGTTTAATTAATAACAGACTATTGGAAGTTAATTTGTTGCCTTAAAATCCTAGTTGGAAGAAAATGTTTTTAAATAACTACAGTGTCATTAGTGAGGCTTGCAGGATTCCCAAAGCAATAACTAGATTCAGAAAAATATTAAACATCGACACAAAATACGGCACAAAGTTCCAGTTACTTAAAAGATTGTTGATTAAAAGTCGTATGTAACTTTTAAGTAAGTAAATAGAAAGAAAACTGAGCGAGTGCAACGCTGTCACACACAATAATCCCAAATCATTTGTTCGTTTGGAAAACACAAATATAATTCCTGTATATGAGTTAAAGGAATCAGCTGAATCTGTTCTGGGTTTTTTTGCCAGTAGTGGTCAAAGTAGGTCAGAGGTCAAAGTGTCTCCAGGGGAAAAAATATTGCCAAATTAGCAGGACGCGTCAGGCCCCTGCAAACAAAACGCTCTAAAGTAAGAGTCAAGTGCATTTAAAGCGCTTTAAGGTGGATTTTCCTGAAAGCGAAGCACAGAGGGGCTTTGCCTGCCCCTACGCTTTTTTTTTTTTTTTTTTTTTTTCTTATCCAGCACTTTGCAAACTTTTATGAGATTTGCATAAATGCGGCTTCGCTTTGCCATCAAAGCCATCTTCTCCGCTGCGGGGGATCTTACCGTCGCGTACTCCTGCAGCACGGACAGCGTGGTGCTTTAGAGGGTTGCACTTTACTTTTTTTTTTTTTTTTTTAACGTGTTACAGTGAGAACTTCTCCTTCTCTCCCTTTTCATTTTCTTCCACTTCTCCGCACCCCTCCCCCCGCAGCTACCGAAGTGAACTTTGTGCTGTGGATGTGAGGGTGAAGATGAGGTTTCTGCAAATACTCAGCCGTGCTGGCCCCCCAACATTTGCAAGTTGCGTCTAGCCAACCAGAACCGCCTTAGCAATCACCTGACCCTGAACTTCCCAGACAAAGAAATGTTCATGCCTTTTTTTTTCTCTCTTTTTTTTTCCTCTTTCTTCTTCCACCCCAAGTGTGGGGGTGAACAAACCTAAGCCCCACACTGGATTATGAGGTTAGCACGCTGGCATGTATGGGTATGTGGACCTGCATTGTTTGTTTGGTGGCACATGGCGATGGTGTGTGTTTCTGAGCAGCCTGCTCGCACTGAGAATATGCTGACATAAGGTATTTCCGCGAGAGTTGTTGTGGACCATCTGTGCGGCATGGCTTAAAGGGAACCTGCCTCTTTAAATGAGGAAGGGAGCGCAGGCTTTTGGCCATGTTTGGGGAAAAAAAGCTGCTGGCTTATAAAGGCTTTTTCTGCTCTTTGAGAGAACCAGTTCAGTTTGAAAATAGTTAACAAATCATGTGTGTTTACCGAGAGCCATACTTTGAGGATGAGGATGATGTGACGAGGATGAAACGAGGCCTGAATTTCTCTTTTACCTCCTTCTCTTTTACTTGTTATGCGTGATGCCTAGTCACAAGCAGTTTGAATGTAAATTTAATGTACTGCTTATTAACGTTGTCTGATTGTAGCAGTAATTGCACGCGCTGAAGAACAGCCAAAAATCTGAGTATAATTTAGATTTTCCTTGTTTTGTTCAAGCAGCACATGTTGCAGCAAGAAGAAATGCATATACCACACATTATAAACTACAGATTTTCCATAGTTTGAACTGCCTTGTTGCTGAAAATGTGCTATATAAATAAAATTACCTTACCTTGCAACTTATTGACCACAGCGACTTGTATATGTTTTTCTACTTCATGACACATTTCTTGTATCTATGCTACTGATACTCCGGAGTGACTTATAGTCCAGAAAAAACACTACGTACATTTGCACGTCTACGTTTTATAGCTACATTTCATACTTGCTGCAAATAGATCTATGATACAAGTCTGCAGGTTTACCTACAAAATAAATTGCTTGCAGCAATGTGTTCAATACACTTTTAACTAACTTTAGGTTATTCTTAAAAATATCTTTACAGAAAGTTCGTGCCATATTAGACAGCTAGCCAGCTGCGCTCGTTGACACTTGATGCTTAGTTGCAAAGTTTGCTCACCTTCGCGGGATGCAATGAGAACTTTACCTTTGTTTTTACACCCTTAAATCCAACAGCATTCAACTATTGCTGGTCTCTTACGTGTGATCAATGAAGTGAAGCTGTTTCCGTACTATCAAGATGGCGTCACAGCACCCAGATGTAGGTCGTCACGTTGGAACTATCTACAGGGTTTTATCATTTGAAAACCTCGTATCTTGACAGAAAAGGAAAACAATTCTGTTTGTGTACACTCACTACACAATGCAGATGTATTTGCTGTAAGGTTTTCAGCCTTCCTGTTATCTGCCAGCAGTTTTGCTCTCTCTCTCCGCCTGCGTAAACCACAGATGTAATAAAAAGACGTTCCTTTTTCAGTATCTGCTTACATCACTGCGCTTTCCTCTGACCTCACTGATGCCTAGATGATCATTTTAAGTCATCCTTCCTCATTAACGACTTGAACAACGAAGAGTGTTTTCAGCATTACCTCATTGTATTTAGGTACGGCGTGTTCACTGATTGGATAACCAGTGGAGTTTTTGATTTTCTGACCTGCTTGCCAGGGACTATCAAGTAGAAAATCAGGAGCCTTTTTATCGTTAGTTCCCACTTTGCCAGGCAGAGGATTTGAGGTCTTTTAACTACAGGCATATCTCGGCATGTGAGCCATCAAACAGTTACGCCAGCAGTCCTCGCCGGGTATTTCCTGCTCGCTGTGCATGAGAAACTGCAGAGGTCGAAAGCTTTGTGTTGTTTTAAAGTCTCAGTGGTTGGTTGAGAAAAAATGCAAACCGAAAGCTAAATTTACTCCTCTTCTTTTTTTTTTTTTTATCTTTCGTTACATCCTACTGTGCATGTTCTTCAACCTTAATTTAAGTTTGTGAAAAATATTATTAATAAATTTATGCAATAATCGTTTTACTTGCAGGCAAGACTATTTGTATCCTAGCAACCACTCCTGTGAGTCTCCGACTCTTTAAGATTTAGTTTCCCTTATAAAGTTAACAGCCTAATTAAACAACTGATGTTTAGCCGTTTACTGTAACCGTGGCGCTAATGTGAGCGTTACAGCTCACATTATAGGTGCTAAGTATTATTTCCACACATACGTTGAGACTGGTGTGTGTGCGTGTGTGTGCGTGCGTGTGTGTGTGTGTGTGTGTTGTGGGTGATTTCTGCCTCCCGTTGCACTCCGTCACCCTTTGAACCCTCGGGGTATTATGCTGTACGGCTTCTGAGTCAGATGATCTGCCGTTGTTCAACCAACATGTCTCTACACCCTGCCAGAGACCTGCAACATGCGCGGCTCCTGTTCAAAACAAAAGCCGCGTAATCGCAGTCCTCCGCGTTAAACTTCTGCGTTTTAACGAGGAAGTCGTGCCAGTTTCTTCGACCCCCGGTTTGCTTTCGTCTCGTGTTTGCAGCGCTGCGGCCTGCGCATGTGCTGCTCGTCTCCGGCGCCGTTCTGACAGGAGGCGTAAAGCGCTGGTGTTTCTGAGGTGTCGGTGACAGGCAGGCATGTGTAAATGATAAAGACCGCATTGTGTTATCTCCTCTACCTCCTTTTCTATTTGCCCCCCCCCTTTTAGACTCGGAGGGCCTGTCTCGCTCATAAAGCGGCGCACACACACTGTGAGGCCCTTGAAAGGGGGCATTTACCACTGAGAAGAAGTCCAGAGACAAATATCTGCTTCTTATAGCCACTATACTTTGTGTTCTCCCCCCAAAGTTGTGTGCTCAGTGTCACTAACTGTGTTTCCATGCAAAACTTTGCTGATGTTCCCCTGACCACAACTTTGCGATTGCGGTGTTCCCGTTAAATAAGGAACGCAGTTAAAGTCACATGTGAACAATGAGTTTGCTCATTGGATAAATCGTTAAAAAAAACCAAAAAAAACATGCAGCGACATCATCCTCATCCAGGATTTTTTCCACCAGTAGTGTTACCTGGTTTTTGACCAAATGACTTGTGTGATGCGAACGAAGTGTTTCCATTGCAGTTTTTGCAAAATACACAGCCAAAAAAAAAAAAAACCTCATTAGCTACACTTTCCAATTGGACATTTCAGCCATAAATCGGCTTAGCAGAAACACGGCGATTTTGAAAAAACTCTAATTTTTCACTACGATGAGGAGTTTTTTTTATTTTGTTTTTTTAAATGAAAAAAAAAGTTTTATTTCGTAAAACTGCAATGGAAACACGTTTTTCACAGGAAGTAACAGGAGAATCATTTTAATGACTTATCTCATGAAAAAAAATAAAACTGATTCATGTGTGAGTTTAATTGCGTTTTTCATTTCTTGGAAACACAGCAATAGGGAAATTGTGCTTTTGTTTACATTAGCAGAATATTGACAAAGTTTCAAATAGAAGCACAAAAAGCTTTTCATCAAAAAACTTGAGGTTTTTTGACATTTCCGTGGTTCCATTTGGCAAAATTGATTTTCGTCACTAAAATTGGAGTAATTGTAAAGTTAGTGGAAACAGATCTAGTTTCTAATGAGAAGAAATCTCAGAAAGAGAGAGAGAGAGAGAGAGAGAGAGACAGAGAGAGAGAGAGAGAGAGAGAGAGAGACAGAGAGAGAGAGAAAGCCAGCGTTATGCTAAGTGAACTAAAAAAAAAATCACCAGCATCACCCAGTAAGCGTCAACAATTTGCCAGGAATGATAGCAGATTCTGCTTCTGATTGTTTTCTTCCAAGCTAGCTGCCATGTGTTCGTTTTTGTATATTTATATTTTTTTTCTTTTTAACCACCTGGAACTACAGATCCGAGCAGGATGGAGAGCAGCGACTCAGGAGCCAAGTGGCCTATCGCGTACGGCCGAGGGCTTTGAACCACTCACCCGGCGCTGCAGCACAGATATTTATAAACCGCAGCTGAGCTTCTTGATTGAACAGCACATGTTTCTACTCTTCTGAGGCAAACCCCTCCCCACTCACCCAAGGCACCCTGTCCTCTTAAAGGCACTATTGTTTACGAGTCACTGGGGAAGAAGACGAGAAGCGGATCCCGGTGTACTCTCTCTCTCTCTCTCTTCCTCTCTCTCTCTCTCCGGCCGTGGCACCTCTGGAGATTGATATCATGTGAATCCTGAGAAACTGAAAAACTCTGGAGGGAAATAAGCACAGCTGTGCCCCGGCGCTCTCGCATGAAGCATATAGTGTGATCAGCACGTGTTGACATATGCGGATCTGCGCGCACGTAGAGGAAATGGAGACGGCGAGCAGAAAGTGGACATGCCTGTCCGTTTGAATCCAGCGCCGCGTTTGTTTGAGAAAGAGACATCAGAAACGGGCGCAGCTGTCGAGGATTTGCTGCCAGAGGCTTTCGTCTCGCCTGCGCCTTGTCCTTCTCTGATTGACCCACCGATTCAATGTCACGGACTCCCAGCTCCATTCCGGGACGCCGTACGGCCTCTGCATACGCTGCTTTTGTTAATGTCTCTACCAGCTTGAAACATCTGGTGATCGCTATATAGCTCAACCTTAGTCAGACCGGATGGAGAGCGACTGTGAAGATCCATTTTCAAGTCTTTCCAGAGATCCGCAGCTCAATTTAGGTGAAAGGTGAAAGTCTTTCCTCGGTCTCAGGTGTTTTGCACATTTGAACAGATTTACTTCCATTTAGCTCGATTCAAACCGAGTACAAGATGTTCAGGTCGATGTGCCAACATGGCAAAAATACAAAACGTAACCAAGCATTTGTTTGTCTAGTTTCTGGTGCAAATATCTTAGTTACCCTGAAGTAAGACTACACTAACTTATAAGCAACTTTTTAGAGTTTGTTTAAAGTCAGAAACTCCTTAATATTGAACTTATAATAATTTTATTTATTTATTTTTTTTGCACAAGTGAAAAAATAAAATACGCCAATGGAACTAGTACTTTTTTTTTTCAGGAATAATTGACTTAACGCGAGCTACAGCTTGCTGAAAAGTTACTTTTAAGTTAGTTCATTCATATATAATTATACTAATTTGCATTAAAAAACTTACTTGGTAAGATTTTGTGTGTTTTGGGGGTAAGCCAAATTTGGCTTGTCAAAGCAAATAACACCAGATCTGTCGAGCCTGTGACCAATGTCTGAGTCTCCCACCTGATCTGTGGATCTCTGCAGCTCCTCCAGAGTTACAATGAGCCTCCTGGCCACTTCTCTGAGTCTGTTAGTAGGGGTGTAGCGATAAGTCGGCCCTGATTTCCTTCGTTTTTTTAAGGTCTGTGCTCTTTTCTACCTCAGCAAACGTCTGAGAATCAGCCACTGTCGTCTTTGTGCTCTACCAGAAGGGAGGTTTGACTCACAGGTCATGTCTGCACATTTCCAGTTAACAATAGTCACCCCACTGTTACTACATTTCAGACTACAAAGACCCCTGTCTACGGGCCTGGTCTTGTCAGGTTTGGCGCTCTTTGCTTTTTTTAACCAGTGCTGTTTGTAGATGTCCAATGTCTGGTGCTTTAAACTCTCCCCCCACCCACTGCGGCTGCATCCCAGGCCCGGTTGACGTGTTCTCTGGTCTTCATTTGAGCTCTAATGTTCCCGAACAATACTCCGTGACCTTTGCAGAACAGTTGCTTTTATAAAAGCCACACTTAAAAGCTATATGACCTTTTTCTTTCCCCCTTCCACTTCACAATTATGCACTATATCCACTGCGCTCCCCTAAAATTTTTATTGGCCTGGTCTGGTCACCCCTATGAATTTTTTTTTTCTTTTCCTGTGGGCGCCACTGACTGCATTGTGTTGGGGCTATTACATAAGATCCCATTAAAGTGAAAAAAAAAATAAGTGGAAGTAGTTCAAAGGGTATGAATACTTTTACAAGGCACAGTAAGATCCCGTTTACAAGGTTCTTTCAGACTCCGGCTCGGCATCGGCTTTGCCGTGAGGAGGTCCGCTGCTTGTGTTGCGCTGCCAAGTTCAATAGCTGCGCCGGTTTTGCCCAAAACTCCTCTGTTGTTTCGTTATTTGTTTTTGATTTTTGTTTGTTTTTTATAGGCAGAGAAAAGAGCCAAGCTAATGTCAGAGATCAACATAATGAAGGACCTGGAGAAGAGCGACGCAGAGAGCCGGACGGAGGAACTCCCAATAATCAAACACCCGCAGCCTTCAAAGCAACAACCTCAGCCTCAGCCGCACAGCCAGCCTCCGCCGCAGCCTCAGTATCAGCAGCAATCACAGCCGTCTCTGCAGCAGCAGCAGCAGCATCAACACAAGCAGCCACCTCAACAGCAGCAGCAGCAGCAGCAGCAGCAGCAGCAACCTACTGACCCGGCTTCTCCCACCGTGGCCACCACCCCGGAGCCTGTCGCCATCGGAGGAGAGGAAAAAACTTCCCAAAAGTCTTCGGACACCGAGCCCGAGTATGAGGTAATGCTCTGCAGAAGCACGACTTTGCTCTGCCGCCTGTTCGTTTTTTGGTAAGCTGCAACATGTAAGGGCTTCTGTCTTAAGGGTGAATGTGAGTTTAGAATCTCTTTGTCTTGTCAGACCAGCTGCATATTTCAGGTGGGATGTGTTAAAAGTTCACTACTACACACAATAAGGCTCCCTGTGGAGCAAGCAGCACATAAAACGACGCTCCTTGTGCTTTACACCAGCGTCAATCTATTACTTATTTCGTCTTTGACCTCGTTACAGTTTTAACTCGACAACTAATGTTTGAAATGTGGATTCATAACACGGTTTCCCAATATTATTAACAAATCTCAGACTCTGAATATCGGGGAGAAAATGCCTGTTTGTGCTTCTAAGGGGGTAAATACTGAACATTTCCAAAACAATAAAAAGCAACCTACCACTTTTCTGCACACACAGTTAAATTTGAATATGTTAGAATATAACTGCATCTAATTCCTCAAATGCAGAAATGCAGTGTTATAGACAGCAGAGTCATCACTGGGCCTGTCACAATAAACAATTAACCAATCAATCGCATGATCAATTAAAACCAGTTGAATCATTTTCATTTGCTTGAAACCGGATGATGAAACTTTTCAATCGGGTGTTTTGGTCTTTAACTATCCCTTTCTTTGAAGGACAGTTTTGTTTACAACGACTTCATAATTAAGTTTATTTGTTTTTTCTGTTGTTTATTTGGATATTTAAAGTTCCAGTGTTGAATGTTCACTAAAACTGAAACTTTATTAATCTTTGAGAATGTGCTCTTGCATTATTAGGCAACAATATTATCATTTATCGCAATAACTTCTGGGGCGATTTATCGGCCGGTAGAATTTGTGATTGCGACAGGTCTAGTCATTACTGACTTGGTGTGGAGATGAGATTTTTCATCAGAACCACAGGAGTTTCTTTCATTACCTCCCAAAAAGCATTTAGTGTTTTTTTGTTGTTGTTGTTTTTTTTATTATTATTAAAAAAGGTGAAAATAAGTCTGAGCATAAAAGTTTTAAAGCATGTACAAAATATGCATGTAGTGGAAACATATAATGTGGTATTTCTAAAAGAGATTGGGTTGAGCAGTCACGTTACCACGGTTCTTTTGGTCTTTGGGCCCTAAACAAACTCGGCTCCAGTAACCCGATTCGTCGGGATGAATGGAGGCACAAAATACAAAACCTTCCTTAACAAGCTGTGACGTGTCTTTAAAATACTTTGAGTTTAGCTCCGGTCTAAATGATTTCTGAGCACATTTACAAACACTAAACCCACCTGCGTGTGTGTGACACCTGTGTTTACGCACCACAGAGGGTTTAACCAGTCGCATTCCTCTCACAATGCTTCACATCTACAATGTATAAAATCTAAACTATGCACAGCCTTAAGACTTGTGTTGGAGTGTTCTGGATAACCAGCTCTCAAAGTGCATAGTTTTTCTGTGTTCTTGGGTATTTTGGTTAAGATTGTTTATCTTTCTTTTTTATGCAACAGATATTCCCCCCCCTCCCCTAAAGTAGAAAATAAGCTGTTTGGAACTTTGCTCAGAAGTTAATACGGAGTGGATGATTTGTGTCGTCTCCTGGCTGCAGGACGGCCGTGGTTTTGGCATCGGCGAGCTGGTTTGGGGGAAGCTGCGAGGTTTTTCTTGGTGGCCGGGCCGCATCGTGTCCTGGTGTATGACGGGCCGGAGCAGAGCCGCCGAGGGAACCAGATGGGTCATGTGGTTTGGAGACGGAAAATTCTCAGTGGTGAGTGTTCGGGGCCAACGGTAATATTCTTGTCAGGTGATTTTTCTTTTGGATTTTTCAAGCAAAACACAGTCTTCAGTTTTATTGATAACCACAAGGGTTGTTTTTTTTTTTCGGGTATTTATTCGTGCATCTGGTTGCTCTATTGAAATCTAATATCCAGATAATTTGTAGACTTGCAGCTTCAAAACGTTTATTTTTTTGTGTGTATTTTTACAGGTATGTGTAGAGAAACTTCTGCCTTTAAGTTCATTTAATAATGCCTTTCACCAACCAACTTACAACAAACAGCCCATGTACAAGAAAGCAATCTACGAAGTGTTACAGGTGAGAGCTCCTGACTTGTGTTTTTATGCTTCACTTAGGGCTGGACAATATGGCAAAACAACATATCATATTATAAACTTCTCATACTGGTTGATATAAATAATTATTGATTAATTTTTTGTTTTAAATATCTGAATACGGCCAATCTACAGAGATGACCTTTCCTGTTTTATCCCAAAATTTTTTTTTATTTTTAAGCTGTGCAGGCTCGGTGTTGCTCAAGTTACGCTGCAGGTTGTTGCTAGGTAACCAAAGAGAGAACGAGTTAGTCGATGCCATCAGCCTTTTTTAGCTAGCCATGAGAGATCAAGCGGCTAATGAACGAGCTACAAATGCTCTGCGGTTCTGTTTTGGATTTAAGTGAAATTGGTTATCACAGGTGTTATCTACTGATATTGATTATGTGTCTATCGTGATATATATTGTTATCAATTTATTCTCCAGTTCTTGTTTCACTCTATCACATTGTTGGTATATTTTAGATTCACCAATCAGTTTTCTGATCCTAAAGAAGATCTAAGGATAGCATTTAACATCTTTTCCTAGCCTTCCTACTCTGAATGATCGTTATTTATATTAGAAGGTGATGCTGTCTGTACAATAGCAGTTACTGTAAATATTCTACATTTACTAAATTGAATCTAAGTTCAAATGAGTAGAAAACTGGTCCTCCTTAGCATCTAGAAAGATTAGCGTTAGCTAAGGTTAGCCTTGCTAAAGGAGTGTACTCTCTTAAACATCCTGGATTGTTAATGCCAATAAAAATCACCACCTCATTCTTTCCAGACAATAAATGACTTATTTTAACCAATGATATGTTGGTTTTAAAATGATATGAAGCTGCTATACATCTTGCTATCCACAGCTTACTCTATTAGCCAACACTTTTATGTCAGAAGCACCTTGTGTGCCTCTTAATTTAAGGTTCCTCTCAGTTTGTTTTTTTTGTTGTTTTTTTTTGCCGATGAAGCGGGATTAAAATATTTTCCACATGTGTGCAGGTGGCTAGTAGCCGGGCAGGAAAAGCCTTTATAGCCTGCCCCGACAGTGACGAAAGTGAAACCTCCAAATCAGTGGACATGTTAAACAAGGAGATGATTGAGTGGGCGATGACCGGGTTTCAGCCCACTGGACCTAAGGGCTTAGAGCCACCTGAAGGTAAGAAAGCGCGACACCTTTGACCCCGTGGGAGCGGGGGACGGCCGAACTCACTCGAAATCACTTCTATAATTTCCACTTTGCCTGGACTTGCTAGAGGAGCGTAACTCCGAGGTTTACCCCGAGATTTGGGTGGAGCCCGAAGCGGCGGCCTACACGCCCCCCCCAGCCAAAAAGCCTCGCAAAAGCACGGTGGAGAAAGGGAAAGTCAAGGACATCATCGACGAGAGGACGCGAGGTGAGGGGGGCCCCGTCCGTTTGTGAACTCCTCTCTCTGTTGACAAGAGGTTAATTATTGTAGGAATTAGACAGGAAACGGGGTCAAGTTGCTGCGTATTACAGTGTCGCCTACAGTTAGGACGAAACTACATTCTGGGTCTTAACAGTGGAGAGCAGCAGGAGCCATACTGACTTAGTTAAACTATCAAAGAGCTGCACATTAAAATGAAACACGGGCACAATGTGCTTCCTGTCACACATGATCTATTTTTAGTTTGTGATCAGAGGAAGGCTCGCTCTGCCTTCCGTGTACGAGTGGACCCAGCTGTGTTTGCCTGATTTGTAGATGGTTGTTCACTTTGTACAGGTTTTCTTTCCAGCCTTCTCTTTTAGTCTTTTAGCTTGAAGTGCTTTTGTTGTTGTTGGGGAGAGATAAACCAATCAGAGTTTCACGGACAATTTCGGTTCACCCGTTTGTCGACCTTTGATCTGACAGCATCAATCTGAACTGATTCTTCTTTAAGATAGGAGTCAGTATGATTTTTCTATTCTAGTTTTTAATATTTGTAGCAGAGGTAAATGCTACGTTTGAGTCGTGCGTGAAAGAGTAGAACTGTTATTTGAATGCTGAGATATTGAAACTGGATGATGAAAGTCTGCAATCAGGTGTTTTGGTCTTTAACTATCCCTGTATTTTGAAGGACAGTTTTGTTTACAAAGACTTCATAATTCATTTTATTTGTTTTTTCTGTTGTTTATTTGGATATTTAAAGTGTAAATGTTCACTAAAATTGAAAGTTTATTAATCTTTGAGATTAATAAACCAGAATTCGTTCTGGGTGGAGAACCACAATGCTTCAAAATATGTACACAAACATCAGCTTTTTGAATTTTTCTCTCAATTTTACTCACTATTCAATCATTTTAATACTTATTTAGCATAAAATCAGCCTCATACATTCTGATTTTAGTTGGCCGTGAGTCCTTAGGGTTATTTTTATTTTTTTTTTGAAGCAGTCAAATGATTGACTGAAGGCCCTTTGGAGTCCTCTGGACTTGATAAAGCACTCACATCATACATGGCCATTTACCATAAGTGATGTGAGCATAAAGTGAGAACTTTTTTTTTGTAACATTTTCAGCAACATTCATTCATTCGTTTCCTCTCTTTTCTGTCACAGAGCGACTTGTTTATGAAGTGAGACAAAAGTGCCGCAGCTTGGAGGGTAAGTTCGGCTCACACATGCTCTCCAGATGCGTTTGGTCATTTCTCACTGTCGTTAAGAAGCAATCTAATCAGAATGTAGGCAACTGTTCTCATAAAACAGTGAAGGCAACACCGTTATTTATGTTCTGACCCCCTTTACGAACGTCCCGACTAACCTGCGTCACAGCTGACTAGATATGTTCACTCAAGTGTCCATCACCGCCTCTCGTCTTCCTCCAGACATCTGCATCTCGTGTGGAAGTCTGAACGTGAGCCTGGAGCACCCCTTGTTCGCCGGAGGAATGTGCCAGAGCTGCAAGGTGAGACGCTGCCCCACCGAACGAATTTACCGTTTTTGAAAACAACAAAACTTTTAAATGTCTCACTGCTTATATTCGGCTCTTTCTGTGCGCTTTGCAGAACTGCTTCCTGGAATGCGCGTACCAATACGACGACGACGGTTATCAGTCGTACTGCACTATCTGCTGCGGCGGACGTGAGGTGCTCATGTGTGGAAACAACAACTGCTGCAGGTGAGGCTTTGACTTCCTAATTCGGCAAGCTTAAATTGCGACCGCCTCATCTTCGGTCAACCTTGACCGAAGACGCACGTTCAACCTTGTTGGCCTCTTGTGTGGGGCGTTTAGAGGTAATTAGCGTGTAGAAGTCTAGAAATTTGAGTCTGGAGAAGTACGGAAGTAAGGATGTGTCGGAAACCTCGAGCACCACTGGGTTACACAAGCTGAAATACTTTGAGCTGGAGAGAAATTTAATTGATAAAATCTGTAGAAAATATAGAAGTTTTAGAGTTTTTTTTTTTCTTTTAGGAAATTTAACTACAAAGCTGTGATGCTTGGGCTGTGAATGTAGGAAAACAAAATCAAAAGTCCTTCCTCACATGAAGGACAACGGTTTGTCTTGAAGCTTCAGCTTAAGACAGTACAAGATTTTCTTTTAACGGTGTGAAGCATAAACCAAAGCATCTCTTAACATGCCTCACTTTTTACAATCTCTACACCGGACTTGCAACTTCAAACCAGCGTAGGCAGGTCAGAGAAACTGAAATAAACTCATCAAGCTCAGTGATGCTTTTCATTAAAAATGGCATAGTGCAACCCTCGCTCATCCAGGGCTTTGCAAAAGTTCTCAAAATCCTCCAAATTGTTCACATTTTGTCACTTTGCGATCACAAACTTCAATTTAGTCAAAGTGGTGTTTGATTGTAATTCTGAAAAATGTTTAATACATTTGCTTTACGCCCTTTTTAATTTGACACCCATTGATAAAATCCTTCAGAAGTCACCTCTGTGCACTTTGATGTGCAGATAACATCTGTTCAGATTTGTATTTGCAAGACACACACGTGCTACACTTTGCACTTGCTACAGTTTTAATGGAGAATATCCTTGAGCTCTGTGACACAATCTTTGGATGAATCAACTGTTTATTATTCCTAATAAATCAAACACAGTTATTCTTCACAAAGAGCTGGCTGTAGTCATCACAAATGTCACAACACTGATGTCAGGCTTCATCACGGAGGTCAGGCTCACAAACGGCTGATAGTAAATATTACGTCATGCGTGGTTTTTCAGTTTGAAGTCTCAAAGAAGGATCAGCCGAAGTACCCTGGCGCAGTAATTACAAGAAAACAAACGTTGAAAAAGCACCACTGAGAGTAACACGATCAGCGCACAGGGCCGTTCTTTGTGTTCACACGACGGCGTGTGACATTTTGATGATGAGTCGCTGCTTGCCAGGCTGGGCGTTTGGATGGAAACCTGATGCTCCAGCAGCCTGACCTCTGACCCCTGGAAGTGAAAACCGGGAGAATCATTCAAACTGAGCCTAATCTATTTAACAAGGTATAAAATATTATGTGGTAAATTAATCCCACCAGGAGACATGATTTGAACTAGGAGTGCAAGTTATTAATTAATTCGTTCGTTTAAAGTTGATTGGTCAGCGGCCAAACCTCAGTTTTCTCTGGCATCGAGAAGGATGATCGTCTTTCCATAATATGAAGGCCAGTATTTTTTTAAATACTGGCCTAATAAAAAAATTTAGGACAAAAATAATAAAACATTATTTTTGTCCTAAATACTGACTGAATAAACAGAATATTTTGGTTTTCTCACATTATTAAACTTAGATATATTTGCATATAACAAAAACGGGAACTCTTAAGTTGCTCATTGGAAAAATTAAAGATGAAAAGGATAAAATATGTGAAACATTTAATTCCCCATTAACAAAAATCTTCATACAGAAGAACCGTCTGTAAAAGACAGGTTAAAATTTCGCTGTCGTGATTTTGAGGTTTACGACCGACCTCAAAATCAGTCCTGCGTATTGGCCTCATATTTCTTTTTCATCACGTCGCATTTTTTCTCTGTTATTCCTTCTCCTCTTTCTTGTCACCACGTCCTCGCCGGTAATTTTTAAACAAGAAGTTGACGCTGCTTTGCTCCGTCATGCCGCTCACCTGGATGAGCCTTATTAACGTGAAACTTAAGGAGCTTGTCGAGTGTTTTTATTTCAAAACAGAACCGAATAAAGTCCATTTTTCATCCCACACCGACCTCTGTTTGGACTGTTTCTCCTTCTGTACCAACTGGCTCCGCTTAAGGATGACCAGCGGCGCCCTCTGCTGGGTGGCGGCCAAACTACAACACTAAAAGAAGGTCCAAGCGATCGTTAATAGGCAATCTACTGAAGCTAATTTTAATTTAATAAACAGTTAATCGTTAGTCGATTAATTGTTTGCGTCCCTACTTTGAACACTGAAAGTTTGAAGTCCTGCTTCAGCCAAAGCGATTTAACACTTACTGTGTTAACGCAGCTGGATCTCTGTGTCCAGGTGTTTCTGTGTGGAATGTGTAGACCTCCTCGTCGGTCAAGGAGCCGCCCACGCTGCCATCAAAGAGGACCCGTGGAACTGCTTCATGTGCAGTCCGAAGGGCGTGTTTGGTCTCCTGGAGCGCCGCTCAGACTGGCCCGACCATCTGCAGCTCTTCTTCGCAAATAATCACGATCAAGATTTTGTGAGTAGTAGTAACAGAGGAGTCTCTCTCTGTGGCGTATCTGTCTGAGTTTCCTTCCAATGTGTAAATTTCAGGATCCACCAAAGCTTTACCCCCCAGTCCTGGTGGAGAAGAGGAGGCCCATTCGTGTTCTGTCGTTGTTTGATGGCATAGCGACAGGTTGGACATCTTCTCTTTTGTCACAGTCTATAGGTTCAGCAACACTTGTTTTCTGTCAAATAATCGACGCTCGGGACTTACCCACTCTTAGTTGGTTTAACTAAATGTTGATGGATTCGTTGTATATTGCGCTCTCCACAGGACTGCTGGTGTTAAAAGAACTTGGCATCCAAGTGGATCGCTATGTGGCGTCCGAAGTGTGTGAAGACTCAATCACAGTGGGCATGGTCCGACATCAGGGACGGATCATGTATGTTGGGGATGTGAGGAATGTCACACGCAAACATGTAAGTGAAGAGGCTTTACTTTGGGGGGGACTTGATGAATTTAAACTCCATCACCGGTCAAAAGTATTTGCCGTGGATTGGTGGAGCACTTTAACGTTTCGGATTCTGTCACAATGCATTTGCACGTGATTATTTTTCTCTCTTTGTATGACTTTGTGTCACGTCTTTGGACAGATTCAGGAGTGGGGTCCATTTGACCTCGTCATTGGTGGAAGTCCCTGCAACGACCTCTCAATAGTCAACCCTGCTCGGAAGGGCGTTTATGGTATGTTCACGCAACTTCTCTTTTTACGTTCCCCTGTAGTGTTTTATAAATCTTTCTGCTCCAGATACAAAACACAAGACTGTTTCTCAATGTGGGGATTGTTTTTGCCCCACAGGAGGCAGCGGCCGCCTCTTCTTTGAGTTCTACCGGCTGCTCCACGAGGCTCGGCCCAAGGAAGGAGACGACAGACCGTTCTTCTGGCTCTTTGAAAACGTTGTTGCGATGGGTGTGAGCGACAAGAGGGACATCTCTCGCTTTCTAGAGGTTAGCTCCTACAGTGATCGAGGACTGCCTGCGAGTTAAACATAGTAAACAAGACAGTACACCTCCTCTTGATTGTACTTTTAATATATAAAATGATCTGCCTCAAGTTATATGTGGGTAAACTTTATTTTAACAAGGCACCAAATGATTACTGGGTTGTGACTGCCCCCTTGTGGCGATTTCTTGTCGAGGAGTAATGAGGAGATTCATGTTGCTTTTTTCTTATCACTGCATTTTAAACACCTGATTACCTTTCAACTTTACATTA